AAAATCCCTTTAGCAAACAACAATTCCCCAACTCGAGTTACTTTCCACCAATCAAAAACGGAAATACCCTTCCCAAAATTGCACTCTCTGACTGACGATAGTTGGACGAAAAATCGAATAAGACAGTTACCCAAAAACCTTTGACCACGCTCGCCGAGCGCCTTTGTTACTGACAAACCTCTGACCACGCTCGCCGAGCGTCTTATACCTGACCTTTACCGACTTTTGTACTGATTAAATTATTGTAAAAGTATAGTCAGTTATCAATTTAATAAATCAATTTACAAAAACGAAATATTTGTGATCTTTTTAATTAAATATCACAAAAAATTCTTGTTAAATTATAACCAAATTAATTTGCAAGAAAACATACAGAGTTACAAAACTTAATTTTTCTTCTTTTGATAAAAAATCCTGTTAAAAATAAAAATTAATATTTTTGTAAAGTAAAAAAACATAAAATGACTTGATTACTTTATTAAAAATCAAGCTTCATACATGAGACGTAAAAAAATGTTACAATTACTTATATAACATATAAATATCTGTAAGTATAATTTAATGTTAAACAGTACACATGTATGTCTTCGTCTATACGTAAATGCGCTTACGTATACACAAACACATAGATGAATAATATAGAACATAAGAGTAAAGTGAGAAAACGATATTTCACTCTGACCCAAGTAAAGAGGAGTCATGCGAAATTTGTAGACGACTTAAAAGAGGGGTAAGAACCCAGGTAAATAGAAAAATAATAGGACTTTGTTCTCCCTCAAGTAGTGAGAATTAGTAACACCCTAAAATTCGATACCGTAACGATTTCCACCCAAAAATCTCTCTCGTTGTCGTGATGTCTTTGTGTTACCGTCATCTAAAGGTTTTTCCAAGTTTCACTGAAACCACGTGTAAGATTTAAAATAAATTGTTTGTGAAGTGAATTTAAATTACGTAAATAATAAATTGAAACAGGCAAAGAAACGGTGACATTGATATAAGTAAGCCCACAATTAAGATTTTATGATTTCTTTAAATAATCTCAATCATTGTATTAAAATTTTAGACTATATTTAGTCAGTCGACTTTGAATTCATATTTTATATAATTTCAAGCTTTTTCCCATAAGCTTCAGATCCTTATCTATTAGCCTAACGGCTAGGGTAACGAAAATTGAATTTTAGTTGCGTTTTGACGTAACAATATTTATTTATTAATTATTATTATAATAATTATTACAGTATAGAAGATATAAAATGGATCCTGAATTAAATCCAACAACAGCTGGCAACTCACTGGTGTATCAGGCCATCCAAGAAAACAATTTGGAAGATCTTATTAAATTGTTATTAGAAGATGGAATGAATGTAAATGAACCAATAATAACAACTGGAGAATTTTCTGGATTCACAGCATTGCATGTTGCATGCATGAAAAATAGAGATTCTTTGGTGGAGTCGCTAGTTAATTATTGTAAAGCAGATGTCAATGCAATGGCTGCTGACGGGACTCAACCTATTCATTTGGCTTGTTTTTATCAATCTCTACACAAATCAAACAGTAAAATAAAAACATTGGTGGAAGCTAATGCAAATGTTAATGCCGAATTTGGAAAAGAAATTTTTTCAAAGCACATCAAAGACGAAGAATGGTTTCCTTATTTTGGTGCCAAAATGCCACTAGCTGCATATACTGTTATTTATGATAAACCATCAATAATTTATGATCTCAAACAAGTCAACTTAAACATTATAAGTCTTACAAATAAAACATTGCTGATGTACGCTGCTGAAAATTACTATTATGAATATATTTCAATTATCATGTCAAATATTGAAGATCCTGAATTGAGGGATAAGTTGATAAACCACCGCGATTGTGATGATGTACCGCTAACTCATTATCCATTCTATCCTAAAAAATATGATCAATTTGCACATCGTAAAATGCGGGTGACCTTTGACTACTTTTTGTACTCAAAATTTTTTTCTGAGGTGTCAAAATGGGGGGCTGACATGTATGCACTGATTAAAAATGATCCAGTAACATTTTTGCCCAATCTATTAGTTTACAGATGTTGTCCTATGCTACTGGAGGATTGTTTGCCTTATTATACTACTGTGTCCTTATATTGGATTGTATACTACGCTGCGCTTTCTAAAGAGGAATCTTTTAAGCAATATTTAGCACGTGTTCATCCCGTAATGCAGCCAGTTAATAATTTATCACCAATCAGAGAAAATCGAAAAGATTGTATAGATATTGCTGTAAAAGATCTGGTGTTTAGGGTTGTATTCAGATTACCTGTTCAAAACGAAGATATAATGTTGATGAATAAATTTATTGTCAGCGACGTAAATCTCAGTGATATTGTGAATGACTACAGAGAAAATTTCATTGAGAAAGAATTACAAGAGCGATTTATTGAATTTGGTGATCATAAAATGACAATGTATGATTTTTTATGGCAAGTTTTTGACTATAAAAAATTAAAATTTTTAATGCGAGAAGAGAATTTACTGGATGCCCTGGATAAAGTTGTCATTCAAAGTAAAAATTTCTCTCGTTACTATAAGGTCTGTCAAAATCTAATTAAATTCAGGATCGGAGATGCTAAGGAAAGATTAAGACTTTTCGAAAATTTGAAGAAAATTTCTTCACTCAGAAAAGCTATACCGTTACCGTTTGAACTGGTATTGTATATTGTTGAGTATCTAAACAACAAACACTTGAAGTTCTTTATAAAAGCTTTTTATTGTTCGTAATTTTATATCGAAACCAGTTTTTGTTTTTTAGTTTTTACAAGAATATTTATTTTTCAATTATTAACAGATTACGTAAATAATTTTTAGTTTTTGCTAATTTATAATAAATATTAAATATTATGGTAAATAAAAATATTGTAACGAACCATTGAATATTTAATTGATCACAACTGTGACAATGGAAGGAAGTTTTTTTTCAATTGTATTTATCTAATTAATAAAATATACAAGTTTCGCCTCAGCACTTAGTTGAAAAAATAAAAAAAAACTGATGTAAAAAAAATTTTTTCTTTGAATTTGAAAATGAAATTTTTATTTGTTATATCAAATCATAAAAAAAAATGAAACATGAAGTATGAAATGAAAATAAATTTATAGATAACCAAAATTCAAAATTTTATAAACTTTAAAATAAGTCGAGCTTAAATTTTATATAATTATACTACCCAAAGCAAAGGAAATAATAAAAATGAACTTTAATTTTTAATGTGCCAAAATGCATATCAATTATCTGTTTTATTATATATAAAACAAAAAATATATCAATAAAATCAAATAGAAATTTCTTTCAAAAAAATGAAAATTAAAATAGTAGACTTCACTTGTAAATATTTACCACGAATTTTTCCAAATTCTTAGTATCTAAAATAATTATTTACAATAAAAAATAAATCATAATAATAATAATAATAACAATAATAATCATAATCATAATAATCACAATGATATCAATATTTCTTTTAAAAAATAAATTGAAGTATTTGAAGTATATTTTCAAAAATGAAAAACTAACTCTTTTCAGAGCCGTCTTCCCAATACTTGGTTCCGTGTCCACAATTGATTTTTATAATGTTTTATCATGCCTTTCTCATGATCAATGTGCTCACATTCTGGGCATTTCAATTGACCTCCATGATGTCGTGCCCAGACGTGGAGTTGAACCCGTTCACGCTTGATTCCTTGACGTATGCACGTCTTGCAGTTGAATATCGGCTTGTCATCCACTCGTTCAACTTCATCCCCCCACACGATTTCTCGGAATTTCTTCTCATCGTTCACTTTGTACGGATGCTTGTTCTCTGATATCCACAACCACGGATGTATAGGATCTACAAGTATAGCCTCGCGAAAGTCCGTCACTTTTCTGCCTTTCCATCTCCTTTGCTTGGGGAGATTTTTCCTTGGTTGTGGAACTGGCGGTACTGGTGGTGGTGCCTGCGATGAGGATGACACTGATATTGGCGATTCCGATCTAGTCGTTGTGGGCGATGAAGTTTTCGAATCTGGCAGTGCTTGCGAGGATGTCCGTGACACTGATGCCGAAGATTCAGAATCTGATGACGCTGGTGTTGCTGATCGGGAGTCTGATGGCGCCGATGTCGTTGGCGATCCTGACACCGATGGTGTTTGAAATTGCGCGTTGATTAGGGATCCAGAGTTCGATGGTCCTGCTATGTCTCTGGCTCGGTTCTGCCGAACCTCTTCTAATTCCCTTTCCAACGCAGCAAACACAGATCGTCGACATCTTCGATGGTCATGTCCACCAGCACAGGCTCATCCCTAACCTGCCTTCGTCTGTCCGGTTTCATCTCGTTGAACTCCTGCTTCAACTTCTTGTACTCGGTTCCTTTCACTTGCCGAGTTTTTATATGATGAATGAATTCAAATGTCATCATCATGTTGTGCCGATTAATTGGCTTAGCAACGCAAGCGACTAAGTACCAGGAATAGTTTGGTAAGCTCCGCTTTATCTGGTACCAAAGCCCCTGAGGTCTTGGCATGTTTAGATCTAGTAAATTTCTCAGCTCATAGAGACGCAGCATGATCCATGAAGCTGACACTGATAAAACTCGGGGAAAACTTCATGAGAACACCAGCGGAATTCCAACCAAACCCCGTAACGATCACAATTAAACACCAATTGACCACTATATCGTCTTCATGTGTCACAACTGCACACAATACTCCGAGTTTACTTCCCATATACGCCGACTATACTCCGTCGTTACGCTGAGTTTCGGATGAGTTTCTACAGAGTTCTATCGGTGGTACCGAAACCGCTAGGGTTATTATCTAGAGTTTTATACTACGCCACGCTTCCTATAGATTACAATTGATTACAATGAATTAAAATGAATAAAAATTAACTAAAATTAATAATTTCGTTGAAAATAATAATATTTATTTTATGCCGTAAGATGGACGGCGGAGTTCCTAGAGTTGTAAAGTTCCACCTTTACAAGCATGGAATGTGAGTGAATTCCATACATGTTTGTAAATTAATTAAAATTCATTAAAATTAATAATTTCGTTAAAAATAATAATATTTTTCCTGAGTATTTATCACGTCTCTCAGTTTATCAGCGAAATCGTTATCTAGCAGAAATCAGATAAAGTAGACAAGAACGTATAGATATTGCTTTAAAAGATCTGGTCTTCAGGAGTGCATTCAGATTACCTGTTCAAAAAGAAGAAATAAAATTGATGGATAAATTAATTGCCAGCGATGAAAATCTCAGGAAGATTGTAAATGACTAATACAAGAAAAATTTCATTGAAAAAGAATTACAGAACCATTTTATTGAATTCGGTGATAATAAAATGACAATGTATGATTTTTTAATGCAAGTTTTTGACTATAAAAAACTATAATTTTTGGCGCGAGAAGAGAATTTACTGGATGCTCTGGATAAAGTTGTCATTAAAAATAATGATTTCTCTCGTTTCTATAAGGTCTATCAAAATCCAATTAAAACCAGGATAAAAGATGCTAAAGAAAGATTAATACATATCTTGAAAATTTGAAGAAAATTTCATCACTTAGAAAAGCTATACCGTTATCGTCTGAGGTGGTATTAGAAATTGTTGAGTATCTAAACAACAGACACTTGAAAGTATTTATAAAAGCATATTTTATAGTTGATAAATTTATATCGAAACTAGTTTTAGTTTCAAAAAGAAAATTTATTTCCAATTATTAACAGTTTAGATTAATAATTTTTAACTTTTATTTCGCTAAAATTTTCAATGAATATTAAGTATTATGTTAAAAAAAATATTGTAAAAAACCATTACATAGTTAATTGACCATAACTGTGACAAGGGAAGGAAAAAGAAATATACTTGTATTAAAAAATAAAAAAACTTTTTTTATTGATTTATTTTTTTTTCGATTGTAGGTATTTATATAATTAATAAAAAATACAAGTTTTGCCTCAACACCTCGTTAAAAAAATAATAAAATACTTTTAGTTACAGTGTTACAAAATTTAATTTTTTTTCTCTTGAAAAAAAATCCTGTTACAAAAAAACTTAACAAACAAAATAAATAAGACAAGTAATTAATTAATTTTAAAAAAATTATATATATAATTATTGTAAAAATTTTTAAATGTCGGCTACAGATAAGCTAGATTTCATTCTCCAATTTTCAAGGTGTAAATTTATTAGATACAAATGTACACACAAGATGTCGTTAGTATTGGCCCTATATTTATTTATGTAAGTAGACATATACAGGAATGTGGTGTTAGTATAATGTGTTCGAATCTCGACGTGTGCTCGGTCTGACATTAGACGTGAACATTTTTAATTTTTCACTCCGTGCTACTTATATATATACCTATATACTACGTTATCTATTTCATCGATTTCACTATAGTCTGGCTACAGTCGCTGCTAAAAAAAAATCAGTATATATGTGGACTACAACAATTTAAAGCGTACTTGTGTACATAATCTAATTTAACAAGTAAACAAAATTACTTTTATCTAATTACACATTCTAAAATTAAAATTTTTCTATTAATAAATACGTATAGATTTAACTTTCAAGACGACCTTGTTCAGTTAATCAAATTTCAATATCAAAGTAAATATCTACATGTGTATTTATTATTACAAAGTAAACAAAGTAAACTACTATCAATAAGTGTTGTTAAAATTATTAAAATAATGTAAATATGTAATATTTATTTATTCTTAATTTAAATTATAAAATAATGTGCTGCAAAACAGCAGACATCCAATAGTTCTTTATTCAAAATAAAAAAAATTACCTACAAAAAATTTGTTATAAAATAAAAAAAATACATGCAAATAATTTTCTAATATACGCAATTATTATTATTTATTATTAAAATTAATTAAAAAAAATCTGTCGGATGTCTGCTATTTTAGACGTAACACCATAAAATAATTAATAGTGTTATTAAAATAAAATATGAATAAATTAAAAAAGAAAACAATTTATATAAATAAAATAAAACATTAATTTTATTTTATTTATATAATTTTTAATGATTTTTATATTATATAAAAATGTACGTCAGTATAAGTACAAGTATGTACATGAAAATATTTAGTGTGTTTTAGTTTAGAAATGAGTACCCCCACTTCAGCTAGTTCCTCGAGCTCGAGATTCATGATGGCTGAAATGTCAGTTTGTTGAAGCTGCGATCGTAGGTGTACTTGTGTTCGTGTTCATTTGTATTGTATGTACAGTGTACAGTGTATACGCCATCAGCAAGCAGCATAACATAAGGGCAGTGGGAGCGGGAGTACGTGAAAATTTCAGTGTGTATATCTAGATGCCGTCATGGATGAAACTACAACTAATGGTATGTGTGTCATTTTGTTAATATAAATAATATATATGTTTACTTTAAAAATTCTTTCATTGTTTAGTTAAATTATTTCAACAATACTGTGTTATTTTTTTTTGTACGGAGCAATATTGTGATTTGTCAGGTCTTAAAATCCATTCTCTGATACATACTTGACATCGTCTGGATCATCTTGTGAGTAGTGAGTGATCGCGTGGGCGTCGTGTCCTTACAAGTCTGTTTCATCTCCACATTTTAAACCTTTTTATCATTTTATTGTCAACAATCCTGACGTTTAATAAATAAACTGTTGTATTGTGCTGTCAAACACAGTGCTCTATAAGTTCAGATCAAGAAAAATTTTTTTTTTTTTAGATTGTTACGATACTGTGATGACCATCCATTGTCGAAAGTGATTCATTCTTTTTAGATTATTTTATTTTCTTTTACTAACGTCTTCCTGATAAACAGTGGCATTTAATGTTTAAATTCGGTAATCATTTATTTTTAGTCTTTTTAAATTATTATTATTATTATTATTATTATCATCATAAATAATGATCCGTTTATTTAATTAAATTATTTAGTTTTAACATGACTTTAGAAAGTAAACTAGATGGATTTAAGTTTTTTAATTATTTATTTTGCTTTAAGATCCTGGAGGTGGAGAAGGCGGGGAAGGAGGAGGTAGTGGACCATTAATTTGTGCTGGATGTCTTAATGCTATTGAAGAAGATGAATTCATTCAAGCACTCAATCAAGAATGGCATATTGATTGTTTTCAGTAAGTATTATTTTTAAGTCAGCTGTAATTATTATTTATTCATTCATTTACATAAAAGTTTGTATACAAATATTTTCTTATTTATTTATTAAAGGTGTTCAGCCTGTGATGCTTCTTTATCGTCATGGTACTTTGAAAAAGATGGCCTACTATTTTGTAAAGATGATTACTGGGCAGCTTATGGAGAAGCTTGTCAAAGTTGTGGTCAAGTTATCACCGGACCAGTTATGTTGGCTGGAGATCACAAATTTCATCCAGAATGTTTTGCATGTAATTCATGTGGTGCATTTATTGGTGATGGTGAAAGCTATGCTTTAGTTGAAAGATCAAAACTTTATTGTGGAATTTGTTATAAACGACAAATGCAGCCACTTAATCGAACGGCAAACTATCCATTTGTTAGGAAGCCCCACAGTATAAGACTAGTAGAGATTCCTCCTGGTACTAAAAACTCTGAAAAGCAGAGAGGAATTAAACTTACTTTGGATTCAACACCCAGTCCTCACAGCTGTGGATGTGGTCTACTCAGAATTTCCGAGTAAGTTTATTATTTATTAAATATTTAATTTAAGCAATAAACTTTTTAATATTTTGGATTAATGTTTATTGACCGAAATAAAATTATTAACATTAATAAGTTTAACTTAGAGCTCTTAAATATTTATGTAATAAAAAAAAAAAAATAGATAATGTATTATATTACGTAATATAAAAATATAAATTCGATTATATGGCATGTTTCGTAATCAGGATAAAAATAAATATTTAAGAGTTCATTTTAAAAATTTTTTTTTGCATACTATCTATTGATCTCTTACTTACTTAAAAACTACAGGTTAGTGAGAAATGTACGCGGAAAGATGAATAAACTGATGACCTCTGTGGTGGAGGTTCTATTTAGACTATGCTGCAGATTCTTTAATAATAGGTATTCATTGATGAATAAGTAAATAAGCACGAAATACTGCAATTTTATTCACGTAGAAATTATTATAGATAAATAGTTATTTTTTTAGGTGCATTTACTTCACACCAGTAGTTTATTTTTATTTTATGCTTTATTTTTTTTTATGATTTTTATTTATGTTTTATATTTTTTTAACTAGCTTGTAAATTATCAATTTCAAACAATTTACATGTGTGTCAATTATATTATTTAAGATTAATAATTATTTATTGATTTTTTCAGGCTCAGTATGTCTGGAGATTTGATGTCCCTACATATAGGAGACAGAATACTAGAAATAAATGGAACACCGGTAAAAGATCAACCTGTTGAGAGTATTGAAAATCTTATACGATATTCTGACTCAGTGTTACAAGTAAGTAGCCAATTTATTTTTAACAAGTATTTATTTGATCGATAACTGACTGATGAAATCTAATATTATTTAGCTAACGATTGAACACGATCCTGACGCGTTATCACGACGAAGCAATTTTTCTACGACTTCATCAGCTTTTCTTTCGACGGCGATCAGTCCTCGAACGAGTCCAGAAAGTAGAGAGCGAATATTTAAGCGTCGAGACGAGGGCTATATAAGTGGAAATCGGAGTCGTCAATTAAAAAGATCTAAGGATCCATCGAATAAAGAACGTAGCAGTTCAATGTCAAGATTGTTGGATTGGTAATTATAAATAACTATTTTATTTTTTTAATCTTAGGATCTACGAAAGAGAAAAAAATTTAGAGTTAATTTTATAACTATTTATTTTTGTGTCGAACGTGTCGTAAGCTGATTAAATCTGTCGCGTTGGATATTTGCAAAAAAAATATAATAAATTATGAATTTTTTGTAATATATATATATATATATATATATATATATATATATATAGAGATTGTCACCTGTCAAAACAGATGATGAAGAGAAGACAATTGTTTTACTCATGACATGTTTAATAAAGAAAAAAAAAATTAGAAATTATAATGCTATTAATTAATGAGGTAGTAAATTTAAAAAATTTAGTTTGCAATGCACACTTATTTAATTATTTTTACGTTAATTTCATTCTTTTTTATTCTCAAACAATTTCTATATTTATAATAAAAAGTATTTTATGATTTATCGTCATAATTATCATTCTTGTTTTTATATTGATTTAAATAAAGTGAAAATAACTCCTATAAAGTCACCACACCATGAACGATTGTTTTCAAAGCTCACATACTATTGTTACGAATCGAGAATTAAAAATTAATTTATTATGATTTTATAATTTTCGTGAGAAAATGTAGAACAATAATGTAGATTTTACTTATTTGCTAGAGTATTGTTTAGCTTACATGTCATTGGAATAGGAGACAATGGTTTTGTTGTTTTGATTTTTAATTTGTTAAATGTTATTTCTCTTATAAGATTCTCAAATGAGTAATTAGTTTTATGTTAGTTTTTCTGATTTATTTGATGAAAGTGGATCCTTAATACTTTTAAAGTGTTGAATTTCATTTTAAAATCATAAAATTTTTTTTGGTTTGTTATAATAATAATAATAATAATAATAATTAATAGAAATATTTTATTGATATTAAAAAATACATGTATATAATAATTAGCACCAAAGTTTTTGCCGCAAATTCAAAATAACAGATTATAATGAATGGTTCAAATTTTTGGTGTTGTAGAAAAAGTATTGGTCCTATAAAATTTTTTTTCAAACAAAAGTTCAAAATTTAATTTTATAAAAAAAAAACTATTCTTTGAATTCTTTCTTTAGAATCAATAATTTCACCGTAATTTTAATAGTAAGATTCATAATTATCAAAAAATTTGAACCTTTGATTATGAATCTTAATTTGGGAATTACAGCGAAAATATTGTTTTTTTTTTTTTAAATCATAAGAAAAGTTTTTTTTACAAAATTAAATTTTGAACTTTTGTTGAATAAAATTTTTTACAGGAGCAATATTTTTGTCGTGATATTAAACATTCTAATCGTTTATTTTAAAATTGCGGCAAAAGTTTTGGTCCTATTAATACCAATGATTGCTCATATATATTAATAAAAAAAAAATTTACAGTACACCACCATCAAGCTCAACCTGCGATTTGAGTAGAACGAGATCATTCCGCGTGGAACCAAAAAGTCAACGAATTTTCCGTGCAAGTGATTTAGTCAAGGGTGAGCTCTTGGGTAAGGGTTTTTTTGGGCAAGTATATAAAGTAACGCATCGTGAAACCAACGAAATAATGGTACTAAAAGAGTTGTACAGAGTGGATGAAGAAGCACAAAAAAATTTTCTTAAAGAAGTAGCAGTCCTTCGATCTTTACATCACAACAACGTACTTCGTTTTATTGGTGTACTTTACAAAGACAAAAAACTTCATCTTGTTACTGAGTACATCGCTGGTGGTACTTTGAGAGGACTACTTCATGATACGAATGTACCGTTGCCGTGGGAACAAAGAACGTCATTCGCTAAAGATATAGCTGCTGGTATGGCCTATCTTCACTCAATGAACATAATACACCGGGACCTGAATTCACATAATTGTCTTGTTCGAGAAGACAAAACCGTAGTTGTAGCAGATTTTGGGTTAGCGAGAATAATACAAAATGGTAATTCATCTGATAAAAGACGATACAGTGGACCATCATCGGCTGATGGTGAGACAAAGTGTCCACGAAAAGAAAGGAAAAAACGTTACACTGTCGTAGGTAATCCATATTGGATGGCACCAGAGATGATGAAAGGCAATAAATACGATGAAAAAGTCGATATTTTTAGCTTTGGTATTGTCGTATGTGAAATAATTGGACGTGTTCAAGCAGACCCAGATTATCTTCCACGTTCTTCTGATTTTGGACTAAATCAAAAAGTATTTAGAGAAAAGTTTTGTGCTAACTGTCCAGAAACTTTTTACATGATTGCTTTTTTGTGTTGTGATTTAAATCCAGATAAAAGACCACCATTTGAAGTTATGGAAGTTTGGTTAGAAGGTTTGGCAATGCATCTGTCTGTTGGTGCTCCTCTTTCACCAGATTTAGAGTCGGATATTCGGTATTACACTGGTCCTAGTCCAATTAGCAGTGAATCTACAACTCCAGAATCACTGGCACCGCAATTAAAACCTATTAAAGAGGGAACAGTACATCAAGAAAAAAAGAGAAATTGCTGTGAAGATAGTACACTGGAAAGGGAAATAGATGTTGCTACAACTGAAGAGTTTAAAGTACCAGAACTACCCAGAGAACGTTATTCACGGCAAAATAGTCAGACTGATATTTCAAAAAACTCGGGAAAATTTTCTAATCAAAATTTACGATCTAAAGTTACGGCTGCTGCTACTACTTCTACTATGATTGCTTCTAATGATAGTGATTCGCCAAGTATTATTATTTCACCTGACTTGAGTGGTTTTAATGGACGTTTTTTGAGAAATCAAACAAAGTTAAAGGACTGTAATCAAATTATTAAAACCACCGATGAAATAATTGCCGATGAAAGTGAGCGTAAAACTTTAAAAAACAAACCACCACTAGGAATTGAAGTTACAAAGTCTCCGGTAAAAGTTAAAATACCTTTAATGGAAAAAATTCGATACGTTGGCAATATAAATACACAGAGTAATTTTGAATTACCTACTGAACTGAGTAATGTTGACAATAAATATTCATACAAAGTTAATTCAGTAGTGAGTCCAAAAAATTTGGAAAAAAAATATGAGTCTTTGGATAATTGTTCATTAAAAAATGACGAACAGAGTCCAATTGATAAGTCGTGGAAATCACCAGAGGCGGGTGGTTTTGTTGGTACTTATTTTAAACAAATTAGTAAATTAAGAAATTCTATTGAAAAAAGCAATAAATCGGTCGGTCGGCAAAATAATAATAATAATGTAAACGCAACAGCGAGCAATGATGTCAAAAAAAAAGGTAAAGATTCTAGTAAAACATCCGCAGGATCTTATCTTAGGCGGATGAAAATTTCACCGACAAAAGAGCAATCTAAAAATGCGTTTTCTAGAGAAGAAGATGAACCGACAAATAATAAAGAATCATTGGAACAACAACAGGATGTTCTGTTAAAAGATAGTGATAGTGATAAGGATAATTTAATTTATAATGATTCGTTAAATGATTTAAATAATTTTCATACTAAAGATAGTTGTTGGTTAAAGAGACAAGACAGTGTTGCTTCGAGTATCGGTAGTATTTTATCCCGACACACGAGTCTTGCAGTATCAGATACACTTCCATTGCGAAATTATCCTGAAAAAATTTCATGTCAACCTCCTTTTACAGAATTACTTTGTCGGCAAGATAGTTTTTGTTCTAATGATAGCACTTCTAAGGCTGATGAGTATTCAAGTTTAAATGACTTTGATATTAATAATATTGACAGTCATACTGAATCTAATGATAAACAATTTTTTACAAACCAATCGATAAATAGTGATGATATGAGATTTGATTATACAAGTGATTTAAAGTTATCATCATATCCACAAGTTAATTATACAGAATGTTATAAAAATAAACAAGTTGATTTATGTAGACAAGATAGTTTTAGCACAGACAGTGCTGTAGGAACAATGCGTAGTGATTTTTTTGATGATATTGACGTAGCTGAGTTACGTAAAAATGCTGAAGAACATAAAAATTGTTGTACAGCTGATAAATTTTGCCCATTAAATCGTAATGCTTCACCTATTGAAAGCACGGCATTGTAAACATATTTTAATAATATATTATATTTATATTGATTAGTATTATTAGTAATGAAAATGACACTGTATCGGTATAATAATAAAAAAAAAACGTATTACTGATATCAAATATGCTCTCAGCAATACAACAACAAGGGCCTTTTGAAGATTTTTAAAAAATATATATTAAATCTGTATTTTAATTATATATAAATAAATAATGATAAACAATATTGTCGATAAATTTAAATCCGACAAATATTGAATTTTTTTATAATAATAATAAAATTGTATTTAAAAATATGAATCTCTAAGATTTAAAAATTTAACCGAAGATTTCAGATTATTTTTTTCAATTTAAAAAATACACTCTTATTACGTCCTAATGTAAAGCATTAAATGCTTACAAGGAATTTTATTTATAAAAGTATTAATTATTCGCTATAAGCATTCCATTTAAATGTTCTTGAAGAAATTTTAAATAATTTAAAGACTAATAGCGCTTGCCAGAAAAAAAAAAAAAATTAAATTTATAGCCAAATGTATTTATCGTTGCATTCCTTGCCAACTACTATTGCGTAATGCATTCCGAAAATAATATTCTTGCCTCATATCAATTAAAATATAAATTATAAAGGGAAATATGTAAAATTGTTAAAATACTGAATCTTCAAACGAAAGCATTCCATCCAATTTGATTGTTTATTTAATCAATCAAACTGTATACCAACAAGAATTTTCAATGAAAGTTTTAAATATTTATATAAATATATATTTGAACTCGTAGAGTTTATGTAGATAATTATTGTATGTAGATTAATTGTTTGTTTAAAATTATATATTGTTGTTTGAGTAAAAGGATGAATTTTTATAACGCAATAAATAGCATTAAATATTTTATTTTATTTTATTAATTGCTATTTTTTTTTTTTTTTTTTTTTTTTTTTTATTAACAAATGGCAATGTGTGTCAGTAAAATTTTCTATCGTTAGATTTAAAAGGACAGAAAATAATTAATTACTATGCACAATAAGTCATGTTGTATTATGTCAAGTATTGAAATGAAATCGAAAAAGAATAATTAATTAATTTAAATTATCGTAAGAATTTATTAATTTGTGTTAAATAATTAAGTTACATAAGTTAAATATATATTGTAATATTATGTACCTTTATTATTAATTTTCGTTTAGAAGCTGACAATATGAAAATGCGTATATCTGTAACGTATAACGGCTACTTAGGAATTTAGAATTATTGTAACAAAACTATATTGCGATTTGTATAGTTAAAATTAGTTTGTACATAGTTTGTATATAAATTTAAGACTCTACACATTCAAAACACTAATTTCGATACAACTACGCTAGCGTTTCCTACTTATACATATTATATGATTATTTTTTTTAACCAATAATAGGAAAGTGTACTTTTTTTTTATTTTTTATTTTTTATTTGCATTCCAAGTATAAGTGAAAATAAATTTTTATATTTTTATTTATACATGTTTTTTTTTTTTTTTTTTTTAAGTCAGTTCTGTCATTTTCTATCTTTACATAAAAGTTTTACTTTTGGGCGATTAACTTTTGTGAAAGTTTTCGTTTTTTAAAAAATAATTTATCTATAATTTTTTTTTTTTTTTGTGTTTATTATAAAAGATTGTAATTTTTAATCGGTGCATGATTTAAAATTATTGATTAAATAATTCGTAAATGTTTTTTATTACGTACTTACGAATGGATTTGTTGTTCAAAAGATTTAATTGAACTATTGAGAAAATGACTGTTAATAGCACATTGAAGGTACCATTGATAAGGTAATAATGTTTGTTATAATGTTAACAATATCTGATATATATTTTTTGCAGTATATTAAAATAAATATCTTTTCCATGCTAAAATAAATAATGATAATAATAATTATAATAAGTCAGTGTACCTTCAATGTTATTTTCCCAAAATCACATAAACGTTAATTGTCTGTGATAGAGAGTGTTTTGAAATTGTCTGTATTATTAATATTATTTTTATTCACACGTAATTAATTATAAATTATAACTTATAACAATCTTAAGTATTGGTTTATACAAATAAATATAATTAAATATGAATACTCATACCATGAACAAAAAAAAATGTCAAATAATCTATTATATTTCATTAGTTTAGAAATTTTTATGCAAATTTTTATATAAACATTAGCTCTCTAATTTGTAATAAATTTTATTTTTTAACATCAAAATATTTCATGTTAAAAATATTCAATTTGTTTTAAAAAAATTTTTTTCTGTCTAAATTTAACATTGTATTAATAATTGGAATGAAAAGCACGTAAGAAATTGTTATGATTGGTAATTAGTAATTAGTAATTACACATAAAATTCAATAAAAAAAGAACAGTAAAATATTTATAATTATGATATGATTAATTATATTGTGTGTGAAAAAAAGGTTCAACAAAAATTTATCCATATATATTTACAAAGAGTGTAAATGGTATAAAAAAAAGATTATTATTTTTTCTCTGATTATTGTTGAGACAACTGACTAGCTGCTGGAAAGATAGAAAGATATACGTATTTGTACTGATTGATTGTAATATGAACAATAATAATTATCAATAATTAATTAATGTGTAATAATAATATAATAATTTTCCGGAAATTTTTACATGAAATAAATACAGTTGAGTCGCGTTATGAGCCCTCCTTGTGTCTCTCTCTTATTAACGCGAGTCTGGTTAAAAAATAAAGAAAACAAGCCGGACTCATAACGCGATTCGACTGTAAATCAATTTTGTTTGACATTCCAAAAAAAAAAATGAATAAAAATAATTTATCATCAATTTAATATTTTATTATATGTGTTGTATATTAGATAGTACCTTTAAAATTAACAGATAGTAAAAATCAGTGGTCACATGAGGTTTAAAATTTATAGTAAGAAACAAATCATCCAAATTCCAAAAATTTTCCCCATATATTTATCAGCATATTAAAAAGTCGCAATTGGAAATATTTTTCCATCTAAATTAAATTTTTAAAGTGGAAATAAAATCTTTTGATTAGCCAAAGTAAACTAAGCTTTATTTTATGATACTGAAGTTAACAGACATTTTACAGATAAATTTTTAAAAAATTTGCACTTATATTTCTTTTAAATTTCTAGATGTGAAATTTTTTATAATACTAAAGTTTGCCGACGCTTTTTATTTTTTTTAATTTATTAAATTAGAACTAAAAAATATTTTTTAAAAATTGCACTTATAGTTTTTAAAGTTTTTTATAAATGAAAATTTTTTTAATAAAAAAGAATTCTAAAAATTTTTTCATGTTTGCTAACTTAATTTCCATGAATTTTTTCATAATAATTTAATTATTATAAAAATAAAAAATTTGACAGATGTCTGTTAAAGAAGTATTTTTTTTTTTTTCCTACTAAAAATGCAGTTCTTAATTAAAAATTAAAATTTTTTTTTATAGGTTCTCACTTGATAAAGAAGAATTTTCGCTAACTCCGTAGTAAATAAAAACTGCGTAGATGCGTGGAATGTAGCGCGTTGTTCATGACAGATTTTCTTACGCTATCCACAAATATTACGTCACGTAATATTACTCACCGTAGAGTGACAGTATAAATAAAATAAATAAAAACTCGAGTGTTGATTCTAACATCAAGCAATTGTTATTTTAATTTCACTAAAATAAATCAAAAATTTAAAACGCTTTTTTGAAAAATGTCAGACCAAAGTTCAGATTCACCAAAAAGTGGCGGAACCAAGAAAGTATCGGTCGATTCGCCAGAGGTGAAAAATTATGCTGAGCAAGGATTGAGGAAATTGTCGTCTACCCATGAAGGCACTAATGAGCTCATTCTTACGGAAATCATTAGTGCAACTTATCAAACCGTTGCTGGATCATTACACAAAATTCATGTTAAGTACGGAGAAAGTAATTGTCCTAAAGGCCAATTCAGCGAGGCAAGTACTCTAGCGGAGAATAGTCCAATTAAAGAGTGTTTGATCAGCGTCTGGTCAAGACCTTGGATAAAGGAAAATCCCCTTGAGATTAACATTAAATTACTTGAAGATTAATGTTAAGTTTCCAACGAGATAAATACATTTTAATACGTATGTACTTTATTTAACGTTGATTATACTCAATACAATGATGTCTATTAATATTTTATGACCACTGGCTCTTATAAAAGTTAAATTAGCCGACATCTGAAAATTTTCATAATTTTTTTATTGAAAAAATTATTACAAAAAAAAATAAAAGAAGAAATTTCACATGTTGAAAATTTAAAAAATTATATGAGAAATTTTTTTTAAGTATTTTTTTATTTGTAATTTTATTGATAAAAAAATCAAAAATTGAACGCCGGCTAATTTTAGTATCATCTGGCTCTTTATGATAATGAAATGGAGAAACATGTAATAATTTTTTAACAAATAAATTAGCGCGAGAAAATTTTAGAAAAATAATTGCACAGTTAGAAATTGCTAAAAATTGTAAATGCAATTTTTCAAATATAATTTTCTAGGCTTAGTTTATTTGTCAAATAAAATTCAAAAATTTTTAAGTGTCTGCTAATTTCAGTATCATGGCTCTCTTTATTTTGTTCTTATGACGTTTGTTAACTACTAAATGACATTAATAAAATTTTATATTTTAATACTGTATTATGCTCTTAATATATTAATAAAATAAGAGATTAAAGTTTATCATATGGAGTTATCTGTTTGAGTACTTGTGATTATTTAAACTATTTTATGTGAAGTATAAATCGCATATATTGCGACTTCTATTCAGTAACCTCATCTTCTAAAAATTTATATATCAGTAAAGGATAAAAGAATCCAAGTGTGGATTCATTTCACATTAATTTTTAATAGATAAATCATTCTTTAAGTAATTTTTACGTCTTGCAATTTCTTTTTTACAAAAAAAAAATCATAAACTTTATTTAAAGATTGAAAAATAATTTAGCAACTCCGAAAATCTAATAATTATAAAATATATTCTTTTTTATTATAAAACAATTTTTGGATGTATGATTTATTAATTAAAGCTGAAATTTCTTAATAACTAATAATG